ACTTAGTACCGCCTTAACCTAATCTAACTTAACCTTAACTTTATACTAAACTAAATAGTGTGTGTGTGTGTGTGTGTGACGTTTCTCAGTCTGTGTAGTGATGTTTCTCAGTCTGTGTAGTGATGTTTCTCAGTCTGTGTAGTGACGTTTCTCAGTCTGTGTAGTGATGTTTCTCAGTCTGTGTAGTGATGTTTCTCCGTCTGTGTAGTGATGTTTCTCCGTCTGTGTAGTGATGTTTCTCAGTCTGTGTAGTGACGTTTCTCAGTCTGTGTAGTGATGTTTCTCAGTCTGTGTAGTGACGTTTCTCAGTCTGTGTAGTGATGTTTCTCAGTCTGTGTAGTGATGTTTCTCAGTCTGTGTAGTGTTTCTCATAGCTGGCAGATGGTAAACAGAGTGTAGTATCATGGCGGTAATGGTCCTAGAACACTATGCATATATACTGTAGGTAAAGTGACTATCTTATGCTGAGTAGATATGCCAAGTTGCCTGACTCACACACCCTAGACAATTGACCTCTGTGGTGTTGGGGGGGAGAAGGGGGAGGGAAGGGGTGAGGGAGAGGGGAGGAGTGAGGGGAGAGGGAGGGTGAGGAGGGTGAGGAGGGAGGAGTGAGGGAGAGGGTGAGGGAGGAGGGTGAGGAGGGAGGGTGAGGGAGGGGGAGGGTGAGGGAGGGAGGTGTGAGGGAGAGGGTGGGGAGAGGGAGGGTGAGGAGGGAGGGTGGGGGGCCTGTCTCTGGTGTGTTGTTTGTCTGTCTGGTGGCTCTGTCTATATTTATGTTTAGGGACTTGCCAATTCCCGGACTTGGAACCTAACCTAACCTAACCTAACCTAACCTAATCTAACCTAACCTAACCTAACCTAACCTAACCTAACCTAACCTAATCTAACCTAACCTAATCTAACCTAACCTGACCTGATTCTACTCCCCCTCTCCCTCTCACCCTTCTCACTTCCTCCCTCTCTCTCTCACCTTCCTCACTTCCCTCACTTCCCTCCTCACCTCCTTCCTTCCTTCCTTCCTTCCTTCCTTCTTTCCTTCCTTCCTTCCTTCCTTCCTTCCTTCCTTCCTTTCTTTCTTCCTTCCTTCCTATGTTGTTGTGCTGATCATATCTTTTAAGTGTGTTGGTGCTTCAAGAATACACTCAGGAAACGTGTGGTTGTGTCGTGTTCCTTGACGTTTTAGTGTGATGGTTAATTCTGTAGACGTTGTTACTCTGGGCTCAGACAGGTAGCGAGTCGTTCTGTAGATAACCTGTACGATTATGGGAAGTACCTCATTAAGTTTAGCTCAGGAAAGGATTTGTGGGGGAATTGTCTGGAGGAGTGTGTGTGTGTGTGTGTGTGTGTGTGTGTGTGTGTGTGTGTGTCTGTGTGTGTGTGTGTCTTGTTTGCTATCTTCTATATACTGCATTGACTTGATGGGTCTTTCGGGGGGAGGGGGTGGGGGGGCAATCATTGTTCAGCATGAACATTTGCCGTAATGTGGGTACCCTAGTTGCCGGCCTTCAGTGTGTAATTGACTGCAAGTAACGAGATGGGAAGTTTCATATATATATACAAATCCGATTGATCCGATTGTTCCCTGTAAGCTGTTGAGAGCACAGAACAAGGCTTACTGTATTGTAAACTGGATCTATCTACTAGTTCTATTAATGTCGTGTTGTGTGGTTAGTCATTCAACTGTTATATGATTTGTTGTTATAGATTTGCGTGTGTGTGTGTGTGTGTGTGTGTGTGTGTGTGTGTGTGTGTGTGTGTGTGTTTTGTACCTAAATTAGTGACATCATTGAGTAGAAGATAGTTTAGGTAGAGGAACTAGAGTGAATGTCTCTTAGGATTGGTCGATTGCTGTGTTCCATTTACATCGCGTTTACTTATCCTCGGAGGCGGTGATGTTGGAGTGCTGGTGAGTGTTGAGTATCTGTCGGATCGAGTATCTGTCGGGTCGAGTATCTGTCGCGTCAAGTATCTGTCGGGTCGAGTATCTGTCGGATCGAGTATCTGTCGGGTCGAGTATCTGTCGGGTCGAGTATCTGTCATGGTCGAGCATCTGTCAGGGTTCTCACACAGTGTACCAAATCAGACAGCAACATTGAATCCTGGTCTGATACATTGTCCTACTCCCAGCCACCGTGACTTCCTGGGTGAGCTGACAATAGAAAACCAGTATAAGCCGCGTCCCCATCATCTCGTATGGGGGTTCATTAGTGACTCAACGAACCCACCTATAGAAGATCACGGTTTCGAATCCATTTTTATCACATTGCCAACCAGGAAATCACATGTGGGTCGCTATACTCTCTCATAATAGCCAATAATAAATATGATACTTTGACCTTCCCGGGATTTAATTGGACAGTATGTGTATGGAGGTTGAAATTTTATCAGGAATATTGTGTTTGGTGGAAGTAGCGTAGATTTTATTGATGGTGGTAGGATCTGTTGTTGTTTTTGTTGAATATTATTACTAGATCGTGGTGTAGTGTAGGAAGGAAGAGGTAGGGTCGTATATAGGTGAAAATCAATACACTTTTCTATTTAGGTGTGTTAGTATTGTTAGTTAATGTAGATAAGACATTGTTTATTGTTGGATTCCACTGCTATATCGTTAAATTATTATCCGCCTTTTTGGTTGTTCAGTACTTTGGTAATAATGAAATGTATTAACGTAATTTAATCGTGAAAATTTATACCAAACTTTATGAAACACTGGATTTTAGTTGTTATTTTATATATTTTTTATTTATTTATTTATTTATTTATTCATTATAATTTTTTGTGAGGAGGAGGCGGGGGAGGGGAGTTAATGTACGTAAGTTAGTGAGGTCCTTGACTCCATTATGTGTGAGCGGCGCCCCAGGGTGATGTCACTTAGCCCGGGCGATGATGGCTTGATGAGGGCCAGGCAGGGGGCCACACATGGGTCAGGTGAGGGGAGGGGGGAGGGGGACACATACCTATATTAACCCACAAAGTGACGCCCCGTGTTGCTGATGGGTGGAGGAGGAGGGGGGGTGGTGGGGGGTGGGGGTGTCAGGGATAGTGAGAGAGAGAGAGAGAGACTCAAACTAATGAAATGACATGACACCAAACACCATTTATCAGCAACTAATGAGGCTGTTTGAGCTAATGGGGCGCGGTAACCTCTTTTTATCTCTTCCTTCTCCTACTCTTCCTCCTCATCTTCCTCCTCCTCATCTTCCTCCTCCTCATCTTCCTCCTCCTCATCTTCCTCCTCCTCTTCCCCATCCCCTATTTTCGTCCCCGAATTTTATTCCTAATTTTTTCTTCTTTCTTTCATTATTTACTTTTCACCTCTTTCTATTCAATACTCTATTCTTGTCTCCCTCCTCTCTCTCTCTCTCCTTTCCTCACTCGATTCTACCCTTCTCCATACCCCCGTCTCCTCCTACACACACACACCAACAACACACAGGAACACACGACCTCATAATTTATCCAGAAGGGTGGCTGGCAGCTTCCGGGCTCACCTCACTTCACCTCCATTCACCTCCGATCACTGACGTACCGTACTGTCCACTCTCACATATTTTGACTGAGATATATTCATGCCCCAGAAGCAATGCCAAGATGGACCTCTTCAATGGTGATGCCTCCTCCTCCTCCTCTACCCCCCTCTCTACTCTTCCTCACCCACCTCTTCACTCAACCTCTACCTCTCTCTCTACAGCTGGAACACTCTCTAAAACCATCTCGGAATGACTGTCTATGAGGATATATGTGTGTAGTATTGCTTTCTGTGTTTGTCCTCTTGGGTAAGGTGTTGGGCGCCTAATTAGAATTTTAATAGAAAATTGATGTCCTTTTTGAAGATTTTGAAGTAATGTGAAGTTTTGTTTTGTGTTGTTTGAGAGAGAGAGAGAGAGAGAGAGAGAGAGAGATCGTGGTGAATAAGCCATTGGGATATTAATATGTAATGTAATAGAGGAGAAAGTGACCACAAGACTCCAAGGTCCCTCCGTTGCTTCTGACACACGCACACACACACACACACACACACACACACAGACACACACACAGAGGAAACTAGCTTCTCTAAATATCCCTTCTACAACAGTGGCAGCCAATAAAAATGATTATAATGATATTAATAATAACGAAAATGATGTCGATGATAACAATACTACTACTAATAATGATGATGATGATGATGATGATGATGATGATGATGATGATGATGATGATGGCGACACAATATTACACGGTGGATAATAACATAACAAGTGCCTCGAGACTCTGGTCAAGATCGTGGAGTTCCCTATCTTAATCAGAGTCAGTGAATATCAAGTTACTTTCGTGTGTTTACAAAGTCTCCTTATGTTTTGTATCTTACAGAGCCCCCTTAAGGAAGATACTCCATCACTTTCCACACCTTACTGTATTACTTCACCGCTGTAATACTTTCCTGAGAGTTACAGAATAAGTTACAGTCGTCATTCCATTTTTAAGCTACTGTTGATATGGTGTAGATTACAGTGGAGTGAATACAAAGGTGGAGTATAGTGTATAATTGTATTTTTTGGATGTTTAACTTTCACAAGGGACTGTATTACACCCCAAAGCATTAAGGGACTGTATTAGACCCCAAGAAAATAATAAGATGCATTCGTGTCAGGTTAATATGTCATGACCTTTTTTTATGGTCTAATTCCAGGTTTACATTTGCATATGCTAATGTACTTACAAGATAGTTAAAGCAGGTCTTATACTTGTAGCTCCCGGCAGACTACTTAATTATGCCTAAGAGGTTACCTGAAACTTTGGATCTTATGAGAGTCTCTTTCTAAAACCGGATTCTCAAAAGAGTTCGTACATCTAAAACCGAATTCTCAAAAAATTCTCGTAAGTAAGAATTTCCTCGTAAATTCAGATATACAAACCCATATAACTTTACAAAGATTAAACCATAACAAAATATGTGTATATAGATGATAATTTGAGCGTGTATATATCACTAACACATTTCTCCTTGTTTACAGAGCCGGTGTGATGTGACGTGATGTGACGTGACGTGACGTGACGTGATGTGAGGTAATGACAGTCACCAGGTAAGCTAAACTAAATTACTGTTTATATATAACATAAAAATATTCACAAAGTCAGAAAAAAACAAATAATTAAACCTTCTATTATATTGTTAACGTTTTTAGTAGATGATTATGTGTGGCCTTAACCCCCCCCCCTCCCCCTCGCCCCCACCCCCCATCCCTAGGAAAGAAATAACTCCCTCATTTATGATAACCAAACATCCATCACTCAGATCAGGAGAGGTGGTTAATATTGGACTGATTAAACGCAAGTAATCAAACAAAAACAATATATTCACTTCAGTTTTATTCAGGTAGAGATTTTTTTTATTTTTTTTTTTATTTTTTTTTATTTTTGTTGATTTTTGTTATTTTTTGTTATTGTTTTTTATTGTTTTTTTAATTGGTTATTTTTATTTTGTTATTTAGTTATTTTTTATTTTTTATTTTTGTTGTTATTGTTGATTTTTTAATATTTTTTTGTTATATTTGTTGATATTTTTCCTGTTATTTTTATTATTGTTGTTATTTTTTTTATATTTTATTATTATCTTCGTTGATATTTTTTTTTATTTATATTATTTTTATTGATAGTTTTGTTAATTGTTATTTTCAGTTACAATATGTCTGTCGTTAGAGCCCATTAGAGACGTTAGTTGTTTGAGGCAGGTTAGTTCATTTGACCTGAGGGACGTGACTTGGTCCCTTAACCCGTAAATGTGGCTCACTGTTGCAATTGGGAGACGTAATGGGAAATATTACTGAGTGAGAGAGACAGGTGTGTGTTGGGAGACAAAGAGCGAGAGTAGAGGGAAGGAGAGAGAAGGGGGGGGGAGACATACAAAGAGAAAGAGAGGAGAGAGACAGAGAGAAAGAGAGGAGAGAGACAGGAGAAAGAGAGGAGACAGGAGAGAGAGAGAGAAAAGAAGGACGAACTGAAGACAGACAGACAGACAGACAGACAGACAGAATCCCCTAAATGCAAAGACAATGAGTGCTCGCTCCTTACTTCCATCCCCTACACACACACAAAAAGCTTTACGAGTTTGAAAAGAAATTTTAGTTCGAATTGCTCTTTGTAAATTATCTCACTCTGTGTTGACGATGAAAATTTGTCTCCGAATGAGTGTCGTTGTCTAGGCAAATAGTGCACGAGTGCTTTACATGTAGATCTGAGTCATGTGGGTTTGTTGGTGTGGTTAGGGTGCGTACATGACTCTTATAAAACTTACATGACTTACGTGTAGGTAAAGAAAAGAGAGAGAGAGAGAGAGAGAGAGAGAGAGAGAGACTCGCCTTGTTAGTCCTCTGTTGTGCCTAATAAAATGTTATGCCTCAGCTAATTCTCTAAAACATTTTCGTGGAGTAGAGACTTATTTTTATGGCTCCGGAACGACGCCCTAGACCCCCTCTCCTCCTCCTTCCCTCTTCCCTTCCTCTTCCCCTCACCAGACCTCTCTTCCTATCCTTCACTTCTCGTCTCTCCTTCCGATTCCCCTTTCCCTTCCTCGTCCCCATTCCCTTCTCCTCCTTCCCCAGTCCTTTCCCCTCCCCTTCCCCCTCTTTCCCTTCCCTTCCCCTTCCTTCCCCCTTCCCCGGGTGTATGGACAAACACAGTTATCTAGGTAATGGGGGCGTGAGAGTACCCGTAAAATTAGGTATGTTTTCGTTATTTTCTCACTCGACCAAACTTGTTGTGAATGGTTATTTTCCTTCGTCGGTGAAAGCCTGAGCTGTGTGTGTGTGTGTGCGTGCGTGTGTGCGTGTGCGTGTGTGTGTGTGTTTCTGGCATGTACGTTCGACACAGACTCATGCAGATAATACAGTTGTTTACTCTCCGTCATAATATTCCCTGCGTTATGCGTGCGTTGACATGCACATAAACATTGATTAACCCTGTCATCATACACAATAAGCTGTAGGTACGTGTGTATTTAACCATGCAGGTGCCATGATTACATAGCTACGTCACGGTGTACCTGGCTGCATTGTATCCTCTTACCTGTGTTTCAACCTTGACACTCTGCAACTCAGAGATACCAAGTGTGTGTGTGTGTGTGTGTGTGTGTGTGTGTGTGTGCGTGCGTGCGTGTGTGCGTGCGTGCCTAGAGTCGATGTCATGGAACTTCTTCTGTTTACAAAGACACTGTTTACATACGAGCTCCATTGTAACACACGCATTAGATATTCATGACGTATTATCTGCTGCAGGTATATACAAACATCACAAATACAGGTATATATGTAGTCTCTCCCTCTCACATTCTCTCACATGTAGGTATATACACAGGACCTATACTACACATTATCTCAATTACATACAGGTATTCACAAGCCTCACATCATCTACCTTGTCTTATTCATTAAGGACTCACCTGCCACTCACCGTCAACACAGGTAATAGGTTAATTATCATAGGTAATTAAGTTGCCCACCGTGTTCCTTCATGACCATAGCTTCTGATTTTTCTTCTCTCTCACTAAATGAATTTCCTTAGGTGATAATTTATTGGTGATGTGAGTTTTGATTGGTTACCATAAGTGAAGTAATGATTGGTTAAAGTCTGTGGAATGATTAGGGAAAGTAGTGGATGATTAAAGATTGGCGTGATTGAGGAGGTTTATTGTGATTAGTGATTGTAAATGAGGATTATTACACACACACACACACATACACACACATACACACACACACACACACACACACACACACACGCACAAAACAGGAGCAGGTGAGTAGGGAGGGAAGGAGGGAGGTGTGCGTGGCTGCGTGGTGGCTTATGTGCGTACATCCAGGAACACATACATGAAACGTACATGTTACCTTCAGCTTACGACACGTGTAGCTCTGACGCATACATATTTGTCTCATGTTTCGGGGAGGCGGTGGTGGGGTGTGTAGCAGTAGAGGTGAGATGCGGGTGAGATAGTGTCTGAGAGTCGACCTTCTGGGCCACAATCATCCTCTTACATGACGTTTCGTACTGTAATGGTCTAGTGTTACTGTATGTATGTATGTATGTATGTATGTATGTATGTATGTATGTATGTATGTATGTATGTATGTATGTATGTAAAATATAAACTAACATTAATTTAACGAAACCTTTATGGTAGACGGGAAATTTATCTTATCTGCCGGAGTAAGTGAAACATGGGTGGCGTTTACCGTAGACTTTTACGCCGCGCTGACTATGTTTGGTTGATATTGATTGATTTATATTATTATTATTATTATTATTATTATTATTATTATTATTATTATTATTATTATTATTATTATTATTATTATTATTATTGTTGTTGTTGTTGTTGTTGTTGTTGTTGTTTAGTATTGCCATCATCTTCATCGTTCATTCTCACAATCTATCACCACCACCACCACCGCCACTACTACTACTACTACTACTACTACTACTACTACTACTACTACTACTACTACTTACTCTACCATTATTACCATCACCAATCCTCTTTGTAATAATAGACGCTTGTGGCTATTAGAGAAGCATGTGGATATATTGCATTAATCAAATGGTGGGTCACTTTAAATGGATATTCTCGGGCCGTGAGTAAGGTTTGGAGAGAGAGTTTCCAGGTGTGTAAAGTGCGTAAGAGAGAGAGTGTGTAAAAGTTTCCAATTTAGATTTCAAAGCTTATTTCTTTTACAGAATCGGCCATTAAAACCCTTTGGTACATTTAAAAGGAACAAACAAAAAATACTACTTTCAACAAATTAATATGAATTATCGAAACCTTTTTCTTTAATGGTAATATTTGTATTTTATTTATGTTTTGTCGTATTTTTGTGATGTCCGTCTGAGTGAGTGTCTTGTTGTTGTTGTTGTTGATCGCGGTGTTTCCTCTCCCAGGTTCTAAAACGGAACAGATATCAAGAGTTATAGTGAGTTATGAATATTCAGCAAATTTGTGATTCATTTGCGAAATTTTGCCAACCTTGCTAATTTGCACAACTAATTTGCTGGTCTCTTACGACTATATAAAAAAGTGACGTTTTGGCGATGTGATTTTTTATTGTAAATGTTGAAACAATAGAGAGAAACAGTTTGTTATATGAGTTTAAAGAAATGTTTTCATATGGACCAGATAATTTATTACACCCCTCCCTAAAAGACACACACACACACACACACACACACATGTACGTGTGTGTGTGTGTGTGTGTGTGCGCGCGTACTTACCTATTCATTTAATTATTTACTCAGGAAGGTGTAAATCACGACTGATTAGTTTAATGGAGGTAATTTGACAAACAAATATTGCAATCATGTGAGTGATTTTTTGGAGTGGCCATCAAACATTAACCTGCTTTAGATCACACGTAAAATGTTCACAGTTTTACCTGCTGGCAATTTTTCACCTGCATCCTAACGCTCCAGGTAAAAGTCCTTCTAAAATAAATTCCCTGCCAGCCATGAATGATGCAACTCGGGGTAATGTATCAAATGATCGCTATTTTACAATATTGGTGGAAAAGTTCTGTGAAAGGGAGAGGGAGGGAGGGAAGGAGGGACAGAGGGAGAGACCAAGGGCGAGAGGGATGGAGTGGGAGAGAGGTGAGGGGTAGATAAATTCATTCGGAAACTAATTAATTTAATCTGTTCTCACTTGTCTATTTCGTACCACTATTTTTTTACAGCATTTTGTTATTCTTTGTTCCCTTTAGTTTTTTAGACCTGACGCACTACACTACAAGCTAAGATGACCTAACGTAAGATCCTAAACTCAGAATTACTTGTAAATTTAAGTGACACATTCTGTTAGCTTACTGGGACGTCTTATGTATGACCAAACGGCGGCCATGATGTCATACAGACGAGGGTATGACGTCAGAGGTAAGCGCGTGACGTCAGTGGTGAGTGGATGACGTCACATAGGTTCATTATTCCCCACTACCGTCGATCAGGTCACAATTTTGTCATATTATTATTATTATTATTATTATTATTATTATTATTATTATTATTATTATTACTGAAATTAAATCAGAAACTGTTGGGT